TTTCTAACGCTACCACATGCATGCCACATATCGAATAATCAGTGCAATCATAATGCAATTAGGCATTTCAAACCATTTCAAATAACTATTTAGACAACCAGAGCACTCTAATAAATCATTTATTGTCTTTTCCATCAAGTTTACCCATATCAAAATAAATTAGATCTATCGATTCTGATTCTCTAACCACATATTTATGGGTCATTTAGCTTGAATATACAAAATTCATATTTTTCTCAAGCATCCAATAATAATATGGGAATACGATATAAGATATTCTAATTCTTCACAAAGACACACTTGGAAGAATTTATCTTATCTACTTAACCATTCCTTATGTCGAGGAAAGTCAATGACTTTCTAGAGGTAGGATTCTCTTCCACTTTCCCAGAACCATTAACAATAGTGGTGAGGGTCTTGCCCAACAACACTTTTTCCTTCAATATGCCTCAATGCATGATTGAGCTTAGCTAATTTATCAGATGCATGCCTTGAGGCGTCAATATCCAACCACCATTTTTTTTTCCAGAATTGCCATTAAGGCCTATCACCCCATTAGTGATTATTACCACCAAATCCTCTTATTTAGTCAAGTTAACACTAGGTTAAACTTGTTCTTACACTTTCATGTCTTATGACCTAGTTTCTCACAAATTTAACAGAGAAACATAGCGTCATTCTTAGAGGATTGGGTGACAATCTTATGGTTACCACAAAGGGTACCATTCTATTTGGTATGGATCTGGTTCGGCTTGCTGCTCTAAGTCTTGAAACTTTAATGTTTCAAAGCAGTCTAAGTGGTTCGTGTAGTACTGATAATAGTACTTCTTACAATATCGTTATTATGGGCAATAAACCCATTCTATTCCCATATATTCTTCACATATATGCATGCATTTAAACAAAATTATTCTACTCCACAACATGTAATCAATTTATATTCTAATCATCGAGGTAATACACGCCTCAATATCGACATATACATGCATCAACTCTAGTTTTACTTTCTCGCATTCAAATGGTTCTCAATACCATATATAGAGCGTAATGGAATAGAATCTAATTAATGACTCACAAGTAACGTTTAAATTCGTACCTTTTTTTTTCCAAGAAGTCAGTCATGCAGAGGATAGCTAGTACTCCACATACCTCTCTTGGCTATTGCTCGTATTATTGCAGCTGCGCTCAAGGAAATCTTTCCCCACAGCTTCTAAAGCCAATTTAGAGAGATAATGTCCTGGTGTAATAAATTGTACCAAAAGGAATTCAAGCCAGGAAATCCTTTCCCGCAACACTAGCTAGATAATCCTTCCCTTTGATTATCCAATTATTGACCATCATCATTTGAACTCCCTTCCACGGACTAATTATCTCATTCAAGGCCCACCTGCACGGCCCGCCTTTGTCTACTCGAAGTTGTCCGATTCCATCAGTAGCGGCTGCCTGCTCAACGTCGTCGTCTATGCCATAACCCCATGACCGCCTAGAAGCTGGCCCCGATCATCAATCGTTCTGGTTAATTCCTGTTTCTATGAATTTCATCAAAAAACAAACAATGCCACAGGTGGCGTAGGGTTTGAGAGTAATTAGCTTCTTTCACGGCCTCCACAAAAGCCGGAGCGGAGCAGCTGGATCGTCTTTATTCCATTCCCTTTGGACTCCATTAGCCGCAACATTGAGCTTCCTCCCTTCTTTTCTATCTTTCAATCGCCTCCTTCTTGTGGTACAGTGATACCACTCCACCCAAAAAACAAACAAACGGAGGAACTCACACACACAGAGGCTTAGTGAAGACATTCAAAAGGAACAATTAATTGACAAAAGGGAAATCAATTCACTGACGCAGCGAAACACATGTCCCTTCTATTTCTATATAAAACTCATCTAGGTTACCGTCTAGGTTAGCGCCGTTGCAACAGAAATTCGAGCGTGCGGCTAATGACGAGTGTTTCCGATCGGTGGGGGTAAGAATAAGTGCGATAAACTGTGGATAAAGGTAGACCTTTCTTCGGAGCGGCATGCATTAAAATTGATCGAGCCAAAATCGATGTCCTGTCCGATACAGATGACAGCAACCGAGCGTCTTAAAATTGTTAGAAACCGAACAGAAAAATAGGGTTACCGATCTGGCTGAGTTGCGGACTAGGTCGCTCTCTTTAAGACGTTCGCGGCACTGCCTTCGTTGCGCACGACAGACTATCAGCCGGTCGCCTCCAGGATAAAACAGCCATTCTTATTTTGTTGCTCATCGGTTTTGTGCGAAAACCGGAGCTCTATGAACTCACTCTCTATTTCGTGTTTCTGCTCTCTGAGGTGTGTTTAGAGGGTCTAGGGGACTGCTATTTATAGGAGCAGAAAACCTAGAATATTCCCTCTTTCTTTGGGAATAAGCCGCATTTTAATTAGGAAGATAATTACTTCCATAATTAAAATATATTATATTATATTCAGATAATTAATCCTAATTATCTCCATAATATTCTTTTTATTAATTATCCTTCTTATTTTTGTATCTAGAAAGAATACTGGATAATTAATTCAATATAGCTTTCAAACCTATTCATTCCCAACATCATCGCGTGCAACACTCTCAGCTGTAGATTAATAATGCTCTGCCTTCCACCGCTCTATAATCCACCTCCTCTCTCTTTCTTTCCTACATTCTCGCTTCGATTCCCACTCGTCGGACTCAATTTATCTATTCTTTGCATACGTTTGTGGTCGGAGATAATGTAGGTTCCCCTCTCTTTCACTCACCTACTCCAACTAATTTCCCATGAATTTTATGTTGTTGTTGTTGGTTGCTTATGGAATGTGATTTTTTGCCCTACGTTCTGCTCGCCGAAAGGTCGTGGTCGAAGTGAAGAGGCCTAATGAGGTGGGGGGTGGGGGGCGAGTGAAAGAAATGTGAAGTATATGATTTTCTATATTTTTCTAATTGACATGTCATTAAGTTAACGGTCCAGTCAGCATTTTCATTTTCCATGTCATCAAAAAATTAGCGGAATTAACGGAGGTTGACAGAGACCAACAACTGGTGAGTAACAGTGAAACAATTCGTAAAGTTAGTGGTGAATAAGAAAGAAAAGTGATTCGGATGGCAAACGTGAAAGATGGGAGCAATTATGGTGAGTACTACAAAAGTAGTAATCACTGTGGCTACTAAGGGTAGAAATGGTATTCTGGTGCTTATTGTTTTGGTAGTGATGCTAAAATTTATTGGTAGTGTTTACATTGGGTATGAATGGTATTCTGGTGCTTATTGTTTTGGTAGTGATGCTAAATTTTATTGGTAATGTTCAAATTGGGTAAGAATGGTATTCTGGTGCTTCTTGTTTTGGTAGTGATGCTAAATTTTATTGGTAGTATTTATATTGTGTTATTAGTGTATATCTGTTTCGATGGATTGGTATTCAATATTCAAAATGAGTTGCTTGACCACTTCCAGAAATACCAATATCATTATAGAAATAAAACAAGAAATCAATGCCAAACATAAAAAAAAAACTATACCAATACAACCAATCTAGATGAACCAATACAACTACAGAAAAAATAGTACCATTACACTACAAAAAACTACCAATATAAATAATCTATACCATTATAAGAATCAAACCAATACCAAAATCAACCAGCACCACTACTACAATAAAAACAAAACAAGATCATTCCATAAATCAAATCACTACCACTGTGAAGACCAAATAAATACCATTCCATACCACTATGAAAAGCATATATGGACTTTCAAAAACCAACTGCGAGAGATGACAATGACATCGTCGTCAAATGATAAGGTTGCTGTTGTGCGCCCTCCTTATTCGATCGGAATTCCCATCCCTGTCGCTCCAAAGGCGTCTCCTCCACCGACGTCACCGTCGACCCCAACTGCAACATCTGGTTCTGCCATCACCATCTCACGCAATCGTCTTCTGAAGAGAGAGAGAGAGAGAGCAGGAGGAGGAGGAGATAGAGAGAGAGAGCAGCAGCAGGAGGGTACGCATAGCGGTGGTCAGGGGTAACCGGAGGGGAGGGAGGCCACTGCGGTGGCCGAGGGTGGCCGGCACTGAGTCATCGTTAGGGATGGTGTAGGTGGCCGGCGGGATTAGTGCGACGAAAGTGGTGGAGGCGGCTGCGGTGGGTTTGGCTGAAGGGAGGGTAGGACTAGGGTTTGGGTAGATTATATAGAATAATCATGTGTGGTCACTTTTTCATTTCCAAAATTATCTTAAAAGAATCTTAACCGTAACTCCGTAAGATTAAAAAAGAAGGGAAAATAGTTAATCAAATGGTATATAAAGAGGTTGCCATCGTGATTACTAAAAAACAAGTAATCACCATAAACCATTCCCGTGAAAGATTTATGTAATTTGAGTGACCAATCATGTAATGTTGTAATTTTCTATTGCTAGGTTAAGGTGTCGTAAACATAACCCACATAAAATACCAGAAGCATATCTACCATATATAGTGATCACTAAAAGGGATAGGGTTCGAAATCTGGCGTCAATGGGGCGTGAACCCGAACATTCCAGTTAAGGCCAAATAGCCTAAGGCCAAATAGCCGTACCATTTCGGTTGCATCCCCTTTTGATATCCTTATTCTTAACGTATTGCATAATTTATGTTATTGTGCTAAATTACTACTTATAGTTAATCCTTTTTCCTAAATCAAAAGGTAACGAAACAAACCAGAAACATGATGTTTATGTTTGTTGTAAATTGATTTATTGGCATGACCGCTTGGGCCATCCTGGATCACTTGTGATACAAAGTATAATCGAGGATTCATGTAAATCTTTGATGAGAATATAAGCAAAAATTCCACAATGAATGAATTTTCTTTTGCTGCTTCTTTTCAAGGAAAGTTGATCATGAGATAAAAATTAGCGAGTATGGAATAAAAAAATTATTTTTTTTGTTTAACGCCCTCCTTGATGAGTCCGAGGCTGTCGTCGGTGTCGGCACCATCAGGTCTTCCCAGACAATCATGCTCGCTAGTCTTGCCTTCAAGCGCAAGTGGCAAAACAAGCGTAGGGCACTTGGCCTCCCCTGTGACAAGCCCAGCATCGTCACCGACGCCAATGTTTAGGTACCCCAACCTTTATTGATTCGCCTAATTAGAAGAACTTGTAAAATACGATAGAAACGGAAGAAAGCAAACGCACAAGACACCAAGATTTACGTGGTTTCCTCGTTCAAGATGAACGAGACTACTCCACGGAGAGCAATAAGCTCTCGGCTGAAAAACTTAATAGTATGGGTCTCTCTTGCTTAGGGTTTACAAGAGCAGCAGCCGAAAATAAATAGTCTCTCCCAAATCAACAAACACAACGTAGGGAGCAAGCAACAAAGTAAAATTACATAATGATCCCTAATAAAGTAGGTATGACATTAGGGATCCCAACACTCCCCCTCAAGCGAAGGAGTGAATGTCGAGAAGGCCGAGCTTGCCAAGAAGATGACCAAAAAGATCGACGCTCAAGCCTTTCGTGAACAGGTCCGCGGGCTGCTCTGAAGAGGGAATCTTGCGAGGAGCAATGTCGTGCGACTGAACCCGCTCGCGCACAAAATAACAGTCCATCTCCACATGCTTTGTGCGTTCGTGAAACACAGGGTTGGCTGCGATGTGAAGGGCAGCCTGATTATCACAAAACAATGGTGTAGGACTGGAAAGAACAACTCCTAAATCACGCAGCAACCAGCGTAGCCAAAGCACCTCACTAACCGTGCTAGCCATAGCACGATACTCAGCTTCAGCAGAGGAACGGGCGACTACCGTCTGTTTCTTGGTGCGCCAGGAAATGGGGGATGCACCAAGAGTAATAAAATAGCCTGTAGTAGAACGACGAGAGAGGGGACATCCTCCCCAGTCAGCATCACAAAAAGCAGTGAGAACCAAAGGAGTGGACGCCGGAAAGAAGAGACCACGACCAGGAGCAGACTTCAAATATCGAAGTACACGAACTGCAGCTTCTTCATGTGCTTTAGTCGGTGCCTTCATGGCCTGACTGAGCAAGTTTACAGCATAAGTAATGTCTGGTCTAGTCACAGTGAGGTAGAGCAAGCGCCCAATAAGACGACGATAAGCGCTGGCATCAGCTGCAGGAGGAGAAGCAACACGACCAAGATGATGTTGCTGCTCAATGGGAGTAGAGCAAGGACGAGCAGCAGAAAGACCAGCATCCTTGAGAATATCCAGAACATACTTACGCTGATTTAACACAATCCCTCGAGGTGAACGAGCTACTTCAATGCCCAAGAAATACTTCAAAGTACCAAGATCCTTGATAGTGAATTGAGCATGAAGGTATTCCTTAACATGAGCAATAAACGATAAATCGGTGCCTGCAAGAATTACGTCATCAACGTAAATAAGTGCAGCCACGTAAGTAGAAGCACGCCTGTAGACAAAAAGAGCATGATCGGCGCGGCTTTGAACAAAACCCAAGCCCTGAAGAGCCTGAGTAAACTTCTGATACCAGTTACGCGATGCCTGACGTAACCCATAGATAGATTTGTGCAAACGACAAACTCTCGTATCACCGGGCCGAGAAAAACCCTGGGGAACCGCCATGTAGACCTCCTCCTCGAGGTCCCCATGAAGAAAAGCATTGTTCACGTCGAGCTGATGAACATGCCAGTTACGAGTCACTGCTACCGCCAAGAGACAACGAACAGTAACGAGCTTGGCGACTGGAGCGAACGTGTCATGATAATCGATGCCTTCCACTTGTGTAAAACCTTTGGCAACAAGGCGAGCTTTGTAACGCTCAACTGTGCCGTCAGGGTTAAACTTGATTTTAAAAACCCAACGACACGCGATAGTCCTCTTGCCAGGAGGAAGATGAACCAAGGACCAGGTGCCATTAGCGATCAAGGCATCGATTTCCCGCTGCATGGCATCTCTCCAATGTTTATGACGAACTGCTTGATAAAAATAGGCCGGCTCTTCTGCAGTGGTGACAGCGCCGACAAAGGCCTGATGTGCAGAGGAAAGTCGGTCATAGTTTAGGAAATCCTCAAGAGGATATTCCACTTCAACAGAGTGGGCTGCTCCTGGGAGTTGGACATCATAACCACGTAGCCGAGTCGAAGGAACACGTACTCGGTCACCACGGCGGGGAGGAGGAACCGTGGGAGCTGGTGAGGCAACAACCTCGGGCGAAGTCTCCTGCTGTATAGGAGAGGCAGCAGACCCGTCCAGGCGCACTCGAGAAGGCGGGGGCGAAGTGGCCGAAGGAGGCGTAGTCGTGTCCTTGGCCGAAGACAACGAAGGGGAAGTAACATCGTCAGGAGCAGCAGAGGTTGGCTCAACCAATGATGGAACATGAGGCGATGAAGCTGAAGTGTGCACAGGATCATCATCAACTGAGGAAGGCGGGACGCCGAAAAGAGGTCGAGACACTGCTGCTGGAGTCAAGGAAGCCTCGGCGTCCACTGTGTGATACGGAAAAATGTCCTCCAAAAATCGCACATCTCGTGAAGTGTAAACAACATGCTTCTCGAGATCATAAACACGATATCCGCGTTGCGTAGCTGGATACCCGGGAAAAATACCAGCACGTCCTCGAGCAGAGAACTTAGAAAGACCCTGATGAGTATCTCTGGCATAGACAAGACAGCCAAACGATCGAAGATGATCATAAGTGGGATCAGCACCAAATAAAACTTGATATGGAGATTTGTTACCAATGCTAACAAGAGGCATTCGATTGATTAGGTAGGCCGCAGTCAGTACACATTCTCCCCAAAACTTAATCGGCAAATTGGCATGAAAGCGCAATGCACGGGCAGTGTCAAGCAAATGTCTATGTTTACGCTCCACTACTCCATTCTGCTGTGGAGTATCCGTGCACGAAGTCTGCAAAATGATACCGTGCTCCTCGTAATATGTTTGCAACACAAGAGTGGCAAACTCTGGTCCATTATCAGCTTGAATACGCTGAACCTGCTTGGTAAACTGAGTCCGAATCATATTGCAAAAATACATCAAATACTTGCCAACGTCTGACTTATGCCGCATCAGAAAAACCCACACTGCACGACTGTAATCATCGACTATGGTCAAGAAAAAATGTGCACCAGAAGTAGACGCTGTCTTATAACTGCCCCAGATATCAACATGAATGAGTTCAAAAACCGACTTTGTCTTAATAGTACTTGACTCAAAAGTATTGCGAGTCTGTTTAGCTCGCAAACAAGAGCGACAAGGATCCCGAGACTGAATTAAAGAACAATCAACTAATTTCTCCAAAATACTGAGTTTCGCCGAAGATGGATGACCCAGTCTAGCATGCCAGAGCTCCGTCACACTCAGCGATCGTCGAACGGAATGCGCAACCGGATGAACTTCATCGAACAGCTTGAGATAATATAACCCGTCAACATGCTTACCCATCCCAATCAGCTTCTTGGATGGTAAGTCCTGAATCACACAGAAGTCACTTAAGAAGATTAATGCAACCGGAAGATCCGCTGTAAGTCTACTGACAGAGAGCAGGTTGCACTGAAAATCGGGAACATGAAGAACACGACGCAAATGTAATTCACTTGACAATTTGCTCGTTCCAATACTATTAACCCTTACACCTGCGCCATTAGGAATCTTGACCTGGAGAGTTGGTGATGAATCCAACTCAACATCCAACAACGAATTATTATTAACAATATGCTCAGTACAACCGGAATCAATTACCCAAGTAGAGGAATTTCCAGTAAACTTACCCGCCATGTTTGAAGTAGGCTCGAGGGCAGGCTGGGAGGATGAACGAAGGTCACTAATGAGCAGCTCCTTGAGCTGCGCAAACTGCGACGAGGTGAGCCCGGGCAAGGGACTGGTCGGCGCATCAACTTGAGCAGCAAGTGGACCAGACCGCGTTCCTTTCTCATTGCGACGCCGTGAAGAATCCCCCTTCTCATTATTCTTCGGCGGAAAACCAATGAGGCGGTAACATGTTTCTTTCACGTGACCTGGTCGCTGGCAGTGAGAGCACCGAACCTTCCCATCCGAGTCTCTCTCCTTATCTCGATCGCGCTCCTTCTCGCGATCACCAGAGGATCCAGAACGATCCCATCGGCGCTCCCCCTGAGCCTGAAAAACGGCCGCTTCAGATCGCGGCTTCCTGCTCTGCGAGATTTGCCGCTGCTGTTCATCGTTGACAACCAGATGGTAAGCCTCGGCAAGAGACGGCACCGGCTTCATGGCGAGGATATGGGACTTCACGGTACCAAACGCGTCGTCCAATCCCATCAAAAAATCGAAGAGGCGTTCTCCTTCACGTGCCTCTCATTGACGGCGCTTCACGTCACAATGACATCCAGCGCAAGTGCAGTCCAGCGAAGGCATGATTGCCTGAACTTCATCCCAGTACCCACGCAGGCGAGTATAAAAGGCTGATACAGACATCTTTTCTTGCTGAAGGCTATGAATATTGCGCTTGAGATCATATAGACGAGAAGAACTACCCTGTCCAAAACGCGATTGCAGATCTACCCAAATTTCTCGAGCAGTATCAGCAAAACGAACACTATTCCGTACCTCTTTCGACATGGCCGTCTTTAACCAGCCTTTGACCATGGCGTTGCAACGCCGCAAGGCTTCTCGTTCGGCCGAAGTCGTCGCTGCCGGAAGAGTACCATCAACAAAACAAATCTTGTTCTTAGCCACGAGTGAGTCTGTGATGTCAACGATCCACTCACCGTAGTTAACGTCCGTGAGCAACTCCCCAACGAACAAATTATTAGGGCTCTCCGATTGATGAAGAACCAAATGCGACGGCAATCCACCCTGACCTTCATCAACAGCCGACTTCATCTTGAATTGTTCGGCGGTCGATTTATTTGTCTTGGTAGACGATTCATCGTCGGAAGCCATGATTCAACCTGTGATCAGCACAGCTCTGATACCATGTAAAATACGATAGAAACGGAAGAAAGCAAACGCACAAGACACCAAGATTTACGTGGTTTCCTCGTTCAAGATGAACGAGACTACTCCACGGAGAGCAATAAGCTCTCGGCTGAAAAACTTAATAGTATGGGTCTCTCTTGCTTAGGGTTTACAAGAGCAGCAGCCGAAAATAAATAGTCTCTCCCAAATCAACAAACACAACGTAGGGAGCAAGCAACAAAGTAAAATTACATAATGATCCCTAATAAAGTAGGTATGACATTAGGGATCCCAACAGAACTTGCCAATTCTAATTTGTAAGTTGGGTGATTTTCGGTTGACTTAATTGTTGACTCTGTTTCCCCAATTGCAAGTGTGCTGGGAGAAATTAGCGAGGGACTTTTAGGTGGAGCTGAAGGAAGTGAAGCTGACGGAAGTTTACTATGTGCTGGACCTGGAGAAGGCGGTGGAGATGGTGGACGAGAACACCATCTGCGTCACCGCAAACCTTGGGTCGACGCTCAACGGCGAGTTCGAGGACGTGAAGAAGCTGAACGACATGCTGACAGAGAAAAATAGAGTGACCGGTTCATCTCCCCGTTCCTGTGGCTGGAGCTGGAATGAGACTTTTGCCTCCCACTCGTGAAATCAATTAACGTCAGCAGCCACAAGTACGACCTCGTCTACGCCAACGTCGAGTGGGCGTTGGAGGAGATGCGAGGAAGGGTTGCAAGCAGCGAAGGGGAAGGATGATTGATTAGGGTTTCAGGAAAGAAGGGGTTTTGGGAAATGGTTTTCCCCGATTGAGGTGGAAGGGAGGAGATAAATTGATATTTTTTTCCCATTTATTATTATTATTAGGAAAATAGGAATACAGAAATAAAAAAGAAAAATTATTCAGTGCTCGCTGATGTGGCAAGTGAGTTGGCTATTGACTAACGGTCAACAGAGTTGATCGTCCAATTTAACGGTCAAACCAGACTTCGGGCCAAATTAGGAAGTATGGTACATAGTTTAGGTCACGATAGCAATTTCAGAATCAACGGGCCAAAGTAGAAAGTTTGTCTATAGTTCAGGCCAAACTGAGGTATTAACCCTAAAATCTGTTACATGGCCTTTTAACGAGGTAAAAAATAACAGACTACCCTTTCTTATTGAAGTTTATTTTTTTCAGCCAAAATATAAAGTAAAAAAATAAATTACTTAGTTTTCTCTATGATTCCTTCCATCTCGACATCGATGACAACCCCAAATCCCCCTTTTGAATTCCTAATTCTTATGAATCAAAAATTGCTTCGATTGCTTTGATTATTGCGCTTACTAGCATATACAAAACTCTCAATGCTTTTCTTGCTCCTCCCTTTATAAAACCTAAAATTTTCAACAGGCGCTTCTTAGGTCTGCTCTGCCGCCTCACTGAAGGGGCGACATGCTTCAATTGGGTCATGGTTCGTGGCAGCCTAATGAGACAGAATCAGAATTTTTCCTCATGGGCTTTGATTATATTCCTTGGAAATAAGGATGGAAGCTCCACCAGTGTAGCGCCAACCAACGCAATTTTCCGGTGGTGACCTTCATTGCTGCTGCGAGGCACAATCATTCATTGACCACACGCCCGATGAATTAAGGCCCAAAAGATCAAAGCTTTAGAGAGTGAAGACTAAACAGAGTAATTGGGGTGGGTGTCATTGAAGATGATGATGATAGGCGGGTAGTTGCCAGTTGGGTAAATAAAGAAGAGAAGTAAATTGATGGAGAATTGGGGATTCTTCTGGATAGTCGAAGGAGGAAGGTACATTAAAAATATATAAAAGAAAAGTAATACTTTTTATATTTTAGCTAGACAAAGAAAAGAAGAAAATGAAATTCTTAATTGATGGGTAGTTAGGTCATTTCCCACTGCCTTAAACGGTAAGTTAACAGATTTTCATTCATAAGGTTATGTTTGTTAAGTTTCGATAGTAGGAGGATATATTTGTGTAAAAAAATAGTACAAGAGTACATTTGTTAATTTGAAGTAATAAAGGGTATAAAATGTTATTAACACTTATAATAAGTATTAGTAGGTGAGTGTTAGTACCCTATCTGGTCTTTTCAGATTCAGTGCCTGCAATATAGGTAAAAAAATTAGTCCATCTTGCTCCAAACTTTTTTTAAAAGAAATGACAGGGGGAAAAATAGTTAGAAAGCTTTACCTAAAACTCTCTCAAGCAACACTTAGTGAAACCACCTTAGAAAGTCGAGGAAGATAATTCTACAGAGTATAACACAAGGGCTCTTTTTGCCAATCTATGGGCAGCCCGGTGGACAATCCGTCGAACCGCCATAAGAACACAAAATTAAAAACTGAAGACAATCTCGAAGCAGGGGACCACCCACCGAATATTCAACACATCACTATCTAGATAACTGGTGACCACTTCAGAATCTTCTTTGAAAATGACACGAGGCAGATTCCAACTGCTTGTGAGATGGCGCTTTGGCAGCTAGCAGATCTACGAGATAATGGTCCATAACTCTTTTATGTTTGAGAGCCCAAGGTCAAGTTTACTTGCCTATCTGTCCCGCGAACGACAAGGCTAGACGAGCAACCTGAATTACGAACAACCACATCAAAGTTAATCTACAGTAAGTCTTTGGGCGGTCAATCCCAAACAACAGGAAAAGAGGCGTAAGACGGGGACGGGGGTCCTAGGTAGGAAGGGAAACTAAGGAAAGTTCACGACCTTGGAAAATGAATTGATGGACAAGAGAACTGGCATGTGGTTGAGTATGTACAAATACCACTTTGATGTGAGTTTCCAAATTCTCCAAAGAAGACAAATGCATGGGAGAATGTGGGTTTGGAAGTTTAATGAAATCATAATATGACGTCACCATATACTAAAATTCAAAGTTTGGGTGGATTAAAGCAAATCCCTTAGTCCCCACTAAAGTCCAAAGATTAGCAATTAGGCAATGGAAGAACATATGTTCATTATTCTATTGGTTATCCCAACAAGCAGGATAGCGAACAAGGCAATTAACTGGGGGCAGACCCACATTCCTCCAACTCTAAGGGTTGTCAATTGACAAAACCTTAGTCTTAAGTTTGGAACAAGAACCAGTGGGAAATTTTGGTTTAGTAATGGTAGTATCGGAACCCATACCGTTTGACAACCCTTAGAATTTCTAATTAAACTTTTCCTATAAACTATAAACCAATGATTGTTGCAAAATTACAAAAATTAATAAGTTTATTACTAATTCTCCTTCAAAAAACTCAAGTAATTTTCAAAATACAATTCACTTCATTAGTTCTCGTATTCCTTTACGAGGGGCCCTTATTTTTATAAGGGCACATATGTTGATTTTTGTAGTTAGGTGCTACTGAAGGAATTTGAACCTTAGACCTCCAAGTTCAAAACTAATGGTGTTACCACTAGGCCAATCACTTGTTCGCTTATGGGAAACTTTTGTGAATGACTAATTCACAAATTTGATGATAGAGCAATTTGTGAATGACTATTTCATTAAGAGGTGATTTGGATGATTAAATTAGATTGGCAATTTGGCCCAATTGCCCCAAAATGAAGCAATTGGGTTGAAGTGCTTAGTTTGACAACACAAAATCGGGATGCATCAATTTGAGTGAAATAATAGTCTCATTTCGCATCAATTTGAATTAACAAGGGGAGGGGCAAGTATTTTGAAATGATGCATTGTGAGATGAGGCAATTTTAAAACAATATGGCCATATTGTCTCATTTTAGAAATCCTTTTTTTACAATGCTTTTTAGAAATCCACCATTCAAACGACCCCACATTTATTGAAATTTTGTGAATCGTAATATAAACAATGAATTTATTTTTGAAAATTCTCAGAATATGGAACACGATGTGACTTATTTTGAAAGTAATAATGTTTCGTATAAGGGCTACCGTAGTTGGTAATACAACTTTCAAGTATTGCCAAAGAAAAAATTATATAAGTCGAGGCTCTAACTCCTAAACTTAATCAGAAACGCAACAAAGATCGATTTGAAGCACAACGATAAGAAAACAGATAATAACCCAAACCAAATCCACACCTCGGGAACATGGCCAGGTCTACAAAGGACTATTCCACTAGGGTGATGAGCTAGAAGAAAAAGTTGGGTTCTTCTTGCTGAATCGGCTCCATAATCAAGAAAGAAGAAGAGGAGAAGTTGGTGTTTGAACTCTCAATTCTAGGGTTTTGATTTCTGAATACAATTGTTGATTAATCTCTAAAAGACTTAGTTCATCCCCTTATATAGGATACAAATTTTGGGCTAAAAATGACAAAGAAACCCAAGTCTTGTACCATAAGTCACTTAATACACAAAGGAAAATAAAAATAACTCGCAGCAGCTCCAAATCCACGCCCTGACCCTCAGATTCCACGGTCGTAGATTTCATCTTCTAGATCGTGGATTTTGGTCTTCAATCCGTGGACATTTTCCACGGTCCAAACTCCATTTCCATGGTCGTGGATTTTCCCTCCATGGCCGTGGATTTATCCATGAGATAGCCCCAACTTGAGTCGTCATCATTTCTTGTCCCACGAATAATTCGACATCCATATTTGTGAAGTTCTGGGCCAAATAAGCTTGAAGTCGACCCTTGAATGCCTTGGCTTGACCTCTAGTGATTGGACCTCGAACTTGCACCTCTTTCTCACGTTCTTCTCGAACCAAAGTTGGACTTGTGATCGTGTTGGACTCTTGGTGTTGATGCCCTCATCATCCCCCTCGACTTGAAAAGGATTTGCGCTCAAATCTAAGTCGTCTTTAAGGAAAGAAGCTAAGTCAGCAACATTGAAAGCAGAAATCATAATACTCGTTCGACAGATCAAGCTTGTAAGCATTTAGTGATTGGATCTCGTACTTGCATCTCTTTCTAGCATTCTTCTCGAACCAAAGTTGGACTTGTGATCGTCTTGGTGTTGATGCCCTCATCATCCCCTTCCACTTGAAAAGGATTTGCGCTCAAATCTAAGTCATCTTCAAGGAAAGAAGCTAGGTCAGCAACATTGAAAGTAGAATTCACACCATACTCGCTCGACAGATCAAGCTTGTAAGCATTGTCATTAATGCGAGCGTGGACTTGAAAGAGACCATCGACACGAGGCAGCAACTTAGAACGTCGTTGACGGGGAAACCGTTCTTTACTCATGTGCACCTAGACCCATTCTCCTGGCTTGACTCGTTGAGGTCATTGATGCTTGTTCACGTTCTTCAGAATATGCTCAGTCCATCTCTCTATGCAGACCACGAACAAACTCTGCTTTCTTCGCACCATCTAAATTCACACGCTCATTGACAGGTAATGGAGACAATTAACAGCCCTATTATATGCAAACTCTACATGAGGTAGGTACTCTTCCCAAGTTTTGATGTTACTCTTAGGGGTGGTTTGGATGCAGAATTTTAATTTGAGAGATTTAAGAGAGATTTGAGCTCAAATCTCTTGTTTTAAAAACCTAGGTTTTCTACATCAGGAATTTTAATGAAATAACTTGTTTGGAAGTAAACCTAGGATTTTAATATAAGAATTGAAAA